TGCCTGTAATCCCAGCTACTCAGGAGGCTGAGGCAGGAGAATTGCCTGAACCCGGGAGGCGGAGGTTGCGGTGAGCCGAGATCGCGCCATTGCACTCCAGCCCGGGTAACATGGAGTGAAACTCCGTCTCAAAAAAAAAAAAACTATTATATGATTATATATAGAGGATTATATAAAGGGAGACTTCCAGCCCTATTTCTATAAACTAATAAATGATTATGTAAAGGATTATATAAAAGGAAATAGCTGAGTAGTAATACTATAAAGTGAGATATTCCTCAAGCCCTAAGTGTGCCAGGGTTCTGCTTAGCTCTCATGCCTCGGTGCCTATACGGGGGGTTACCGACACGCCCACAGAACAGAATAGAAACCCTTTCCCTTTCTACTCTCCATTCACTCGGGAGAGAGTCCACCCCAAGCTCAGCTTCAGAGACTTCCCAAACGCCACTGTCTGGGAGGCGGGACAGACGGCTCAGGCCAGGGAGGAGTCAGGTCACCACCTGCTGCTTGAACACAGAGTTGAGGGCATGAGGGCAGGGACTGAGGTCCCAGCTACTCAGGAAGCATCGGCATCAGCTACTCAGGATTGCTGAACCCGGGGGTCCAGGCCAGCCTGGTAGACAAAGTAACACCCCCTCCCACTGTACTCCCTTCCTGTTCCGTCTGTCTTACTCTCTTGTAACTTTTTAAAATAAAATTGATGATGTGCCATAGGGATCCAACATCATACTTTTCCATGTGGATATGCAGTTAGTTGTCCCAGAACATTTGTGGAAGACATCTATTATTTTCTCTTTTTTTAATTTAGTTTTTTCTTTCCTTTTTGTTTGTTTTATTTTTGGTTTTTTGAGACAGGGTCTAGCTCTGTCGCCCGGAGCGGGGTGGGGAGTGCAGTGGCGCGATCTTGGCTCACTGCGACCTCTGCCTCACAGGTTGAGGCGATTCTCCTGCCTCAGCCTCCGGAGTAGCTGGAATTGCAGGCGCCTACCACCACGTCCAGCTAATTTTTGTATCTGTAGTAGAGACGGGATTTCACTGTGTTGGCCAGGCTGTTCTCGAACTCCTGACCTTGTGATCCGACTGCCTCGGCCTTCCAAAGTGCTACGATTACAAGCGTGAGCCACCGCGCCTTTGTTTTGTTTTTGTTTTTGTTTTGCTTTGAGACAGAGTATTTCTCTGTTGTCTGGGCTGGAGCGCAGCGGGAAGATCTGGGCTCACTGGGATTACAGGCGTGAGCCACAGTGCTTGGCACAAGAAATACTCTTTACTTCGCTTTTTAAAGGTTGAGAAAATATAACTGAAAACAAAAACATCTTCCCCCAAATGAGAAATCATCTCCACGACGATACAGAGAAAGAAATAAAAAACACTCTATTAATAAACCTTAGACCAGAATACGATGGGAAATAGGCAAATAGCTAAGACGTTGACAAGAGAGAAGGAAACTTCCCTGTTCTATACAAGGCATTAAGTACATGTTTTCAAGGTAAACACTAATAACTCCTCAGGTAAGAGGACCTGACAACACCCTTAGTCACACATGTTCATCCTGGCTTCACTTGGTAATTGAGGTGACCATGTGTGTCAGCTTCTTAGCTTCATCCAGAGGGAGAGGAAAAAACCCTAACCTATGTCTTTTTGGCAAGTGTGAGTTTCACAACATGGCCACAGGCACCCTCTCTGGTGAGGCTCCTACAATCCAACAGAAACTGATGTCAGTAGTATATAATAAAATTTAGAATATATGATTAAGTGTAGAGTTTATGTGAACACAAAGTTTGAAGATAGCCAACTAGAAATATCAACTCCAAATGAATGAGATCAGCATTCCAAAGTAGAGACGTTAAGGTTTCACAGGCATAGGGAAAGACAGC